AAATGAAGAATAATTTACATGGAATCAACACTAGAGGACTCTGAGAATCAAATCAGCAATTTGGAACATGAAGAAACAAAAAACACCGAACCAGAAGAGCAAAGAGAAAAAAGAATCCACAAATATGAAAATAGTATAAGGAGCCTCTGGGACAACTTCAAGAGGCCCAACATTCGTATTATTGGGGTGTCAGAAGGGGAAGAAAGAGACCAAGGAATTGAAAACCTATTTGAAAAATAATGACAGAAAACGGCCCCTACCTGGGGAAAGAAATAGACTTACAAGTCCAGGAAGCACAGAGGGTCCCAAACAAGAGGAACCCAAAGANAGAGGAACCCAAAGAGGCCCACAGCAAGACACATCGTAATTAAAATGCCAAAGGTTAAAGACAAGGAGAGAATCTTAAAAGCAGCAAGAGAAAAGCAGTTACTTATCTACAAGGGAGCACCCATATGACTGTCAGCTAATTTCTCAGCAGAAACCTTGCAGGCCAGAAGGGAGTGGCAAGAAATATTCAAAGTGATGAAAAACATGGAACTACAACCAAGATTGCTCTACCCAGCAAAGCTATCATTTAGAATTGAAGGTCAGATAAGGAGCTTCACAGATAAAAAAAAGCTAAAGGAGTTCATCACCACCAGACCAGCACTACAGGAAATGTTGAAGGGTCTTCTTTAAGAAGAAGCTAATGAACAAAAGAATCTGATGAACTAAATAAATCCAGAGACACTGACGCAGGCAACAGACAATCATATTTCAGAGGAAAGAGGGAAGGGGGGTGGAGGGTGGGAAGAGATTAACCACAGAAGTTATATGCATATATGCATAACCTATGGACACAGTCAATAACAGGGTGAAGGCCTGGGGAGAGGGTGGGAGCGAAGTGGAGGGGATCAATTGGGGGGGAAATGGGACACCTGTAATGCTCTCAACAATAAAGATAAATTGAAAAAGTAAAAACAAACAAACAAAAAAACCCCAAACAAACAAAAAAAGAGATTAGTTGAGCCGTATTATTGATACCGCTTTTTATTGGGTATCGTTTTCAAAATGGTTCAGAAAGAATGGTGGAATGAAGCAACACGTAGCCATGTACAGTTATGGGATATGAGTAAAAACATCTTTCAAAATCTTTTCTCTCTTTCGAAAAACTATCTGTTTATTCTGAGTAAATTTTAATAAAGTGACATTAGCCTCAGAAGGAGAAAAGTTGCAAATCATGTCAGTTTCAGGATCCCTTTGTTTTGTTTTTTGGTTTTTGCCGGATAGTCACACACCCCAGCGTGGACTTCTGCGAGAGCGAAATGCGGGTCACCTAAGACGGGCCTGGCTTCAGAGCCTTCCCCCTTCCCTGCCTGGAGGGCAGGCGTTGTGTTGTGGAGTCCGGACCACTGTCCGCATCTGTGGCGACACCGCGCCCGCCCTCCTCGCCCTGTGCACTCTCAGAGCACGGGGATAACTGCGAGACTCGCTCGGAGACAGAGGCAACGTCTGGCTCAGCCAGGGCAGAATTCAGCCTGACTTTCAAACGCAAATGGTCCAATTAACATCCAACAGAGAGCAAACCAGCTAGCAGATTTGGAAATTTCCTTTACAATTTCTTAAAATTTTCCTTTGAAATCTCCAGCCTGGCGTATGAAGTCCTTCCAGACTCTAACGAGCTGCAGAGGCCCCTCTGTCTGTAAATAAAAACCAAAACGATGTCTCCGCTGGGCCCAGGGCTTTCTCGGGCAGTGGGTATTTCTTGAGATGCTGTGTCCTGATTTTCCCTCTTCCCTCGGGGGCTGCTGTGTCCCTGCTGTTTTCAGAAGGTTTTCTCCTACCCACCCAGTTTCCAAAAGTGACCCTGAAGATGAGTCAGAAGTTCCATACCTGCTCCCCACATGGGGAAGCCGGGGCCCAGCCAGGTTAAATCAGTTCCCGCTGCTGGGACAGGGGAACTCGGAGGTTCTCGCATGGTTGTGGAAATCTGGGCGACGTGGAAACGAAACTTCTGCTTCCTCAGGTGATCTTTCCTGTCTGTTCAAAACAAAACCCTGTCCGTTTCATCAGTTCCCAGGACGTTGCTTTTTGACACATGAACATTTGGAACCACCTCTAATTGGGACCAGTTTTCTCTAGGAACCCCACTCATGGGTTAGGGGGACACAGCTGACCAGGTCATTGTTGACAGATTTCACCAATATTATAAAGAAAATTTAGAGAATAATTCATTTAATTGCTAGATCTGGAGTTCATCATCTTTGAAACCCACACATTCAGGGTTTGGTTTTGTTTTTCCTTAAAGAGAAAAGCTGTTTGAAATGATTTACCTTCAGAATTTCCTTATTTACTCTTAGGTTCCAAGATATTTGATCATCTGAGGGAAAGTGGATTTAACCTTGAGGTAAGAGAGAAAGTGGAGAGGGAGATGCTGGTTTTGTGAATTTTAGGTTTTCCCAGGGAAAAAGATGTTGGAAAGGGACAGTTCTATTTTTTCAGAGCACAGAATTTTTGAGCCATATGACATACTTCTCTTTTCATAGGACGACGTTAGATGGACTCTTAGAGATCGTTTTAGTCCAATCTGTCCATCTAACAGATGAAGAAACTGAATTTGAATAAGTTGAGGGGTGTTAGCTCTATTTCCATGTCCGTGTGTATAAATTTGCCCTGTTCTTTTAAACGCTGTGTAACTTTCTATAAGGATATACCTTAATCTATTTAGCCATGTGTCTTTGAGGAATATTGTGGTTATTTCCAGTTTTTCACCTTTGTAAACAACGCTGCAATGAACAACCTGCACACCCACCTTAGTTAGTATGTATTTTCACAGGCTACATAACCAGAAAGGAAGCCAAAATTTTAGTAGAAATAGCCGTCCTATGAAATTGTGCCTGTGACTGCACACCCTTGCCAACAAGGGATATTATCAAACTTTCCATTTGATTTAAATTTTTAAAGTAATTTTGGTCTTTGACACTGATCTCATTGATCTATCTGAAATTCACTTTTATGTATTATTATGTGAGGTGGGGGCCTCGCTTACGCATTTTGTCAATATTTACTATGAAAGGAGGGGCAGATGTGGGAACACAGCTGTGGCAACCTCCAGGCCCCACAACCCGCTCAGCAAAAGAAAAGCCCTGCAGCCCCAGACCCGCCCCTGCGGCCACCTCAGGAGGACAGTTGGGGACCAGGTGTTGTTACGGCAGAGTTGCGTCAGGTACATACGTGTGCATTTGAGGATTCAACCAAACAGGCCTTTAAGCTCCGAGCACCCAGATACTAGTGACTTTAGGATATTTTAGGAGACTCTTAGATTTCGCCTACGATGATGTTTACCTTCCATGTCGACCTGAGAACCTAGATTGCCCTCCCCACCCGCCCACAACAGACCCACCAGGGATGTAACGGAGCCTGCTGCCTTCGGAGGGTTTCCTTGGGTCCCTCACTCACAACCTCTAAGGAGCATCTAAAAACACTCCTTCCAATCACGTATATACACATAGAGGACGTTCCTGGAAGGACCTTGAAAATACAGTTTTCTCCACCTTATTCTATGTGAAGTTTTCCAGTGATTTTGTTTTTGGGGTTTTGTGCACCCCTTGTGGACGGATACCTAGCCGCCCCGATCCACACCCAGCCCCCCCAGGCTCAGGATTCCCAGCGCCTCGCCCTGTGCAGCCTCCTGGCCGGTGAGTCGGGGCACAGGCAGGGTCCCTTCGCCGCCTCTGGCCCAGGCGCGGTTGGTGAGTGTCCTGCGCAGGGCGAGAGACTTTTGCCTTGAGCCTGGGCACGCCGTCGCCATGATGTGGCCCAGTGGTCTCGCCCACGGTGTGGGACGATGGCTGGAGGTGGTGCGGCCGCCCATGGAAAGCAGGATGTGGCTCTTCGGGACCAAGACCTTCCTTTTTCCTTCAAGGGCTGAGGTGAGTCATAGTTCCTCCTACTTTCCTATGTCAAAGCGCAAGGTCTGGGACATGATTTCATATCTAGAGCTCAGAGGTTGCAGGAGGGGTGCGGCAGGTGTCCTTGGCGCCCCACACCCTCTGGCACGCCCGCCATAAACAGGCGGCTCTGCGCTCAGCCCGGAGACTCGATCCAGGGGCAGAGCTCACGTGCTTGTGCTGGGCACAGGTGGCCCTGCTGGGCAATCCTGCCCTCAGGAGAGGGGCTCGGCCACCAGGCAGAGCTCACAGGCTTCTGCTGGGCACAGGTGGCCCTGCTGGGCAATCCTGCCCTCAGGAGAGGGGCTCGCCACCGGCAGGTGGGAGTCACAGCACCACATGCCAGGGCCGCCTCTGCAGTGCCCAGTGGGAACAGGCTCCCGAATGCTCCCTCTCCACGGCCGCCTTCTTCTCTGGCCCACGTCCCATCTCTCCCGGAGCCCCTTCCAAACGACCCGCGTGCTCTGCAGTCCTGCCTCGGACCCGCTTCTGGGCAAACCCAGCCTGAGACAGGAGGCGGCGCCCCCTGCGTAGGGAGGCCTGGCACATCCCTGGGGGGACACTGGCTCACAGAGCATTGCAAGGGGCCACCTGCAGCACACATTTCACTCTCTAGTCTGTAAGGAGATGCAGACTCCTCTGGGAGGGGCGTCTCTTTTTATGGAAACGAGGGAGCTACCGAAGGGAGAGGTGCCTCTCAGGGCAGGGAACCCTGTCACAGGTGACACTGTCCAGCTGAGGCCTGGAGTGACTGGGGCTGCCAAGGAAACCCTCACAGGGGCCCAGGAGCCCAGGGACAGGGCTTGAGCACCAGGGACTGAACCAGAGGCACAGTGACTGAGATAAGTGCAGTCATATAGAAAGGGAACCTATTTCCCGTGGTCTGAGGAAATGGATTAGATGGGGCAGCTTTTCATACTTAGATGGGGGTAGGTGGGGGGGGGGCTTCCTGCCCCTATATACACACACAGATCCCAGCCCAGAAGTAAGATGGCTCTTCAAATCCTTAGACAAACTGTCCCTCCTGAAAAGTCCTCTGATTTCCCATAACTAGCAGTGTCCCAGGTCATCTCTAGTCTGGGGGACACCGTGACCGGGGAGCATGGGGCAGGGGAGTCAGGAGGCCTGCCTGGCGTGGCCATCCTAGGACTGAGATTCCAGGTCTGGTACTTTGCTGGGGCTGCTGTAACCACGTTGCACAAAATGAGCTTTAACACACACGTTCCTGTCCCCTCTGCAGGCAGAAGGCTGAGCCCGAGGGGCGGGTGGGGCTGCTTCCTGCTGAGGGCTGTGAGGATGGCCTGTCCCTGGCCTCTCTCCAGGCTGGTAGGTGGCCGTCGTCCTGTCCCATAGCTTCCTCCCTGTCTCCATGTTTCTGTGTCCTAATTTCTCCCTCTTGTGAGAACATCAGTCCTAGGTTAGGACCCACCCCAAGACCTCACTTTTATCCGCAGTCCGGTAAAGGCCCTAGCTCCAAGCAAGGCTATCTTCCGAGGCCCTGGGCATTAGAACTTCCATAAAGAAAACCTGGGGAGACACAGAACCCCAGGCGAGCTTTCTGGCTTCAGTTTCTCATCTGTAGAGGGGAATGCTGGCCTAAGTGCTCTTTCAGCCCCAGCCTTCCAAGATTCGCTCAGACCGTTGGCAGCAGCCAAGCCTGGCTCCCCTATTCACGGGGCTATAAATATAAGAATTTTCCGGGCCCAGGCCTGCCAGCCCATCCTGGAGGGGGGGGAGCGGGGGAGCGTGCAAGGTGGAGTTTTCCTGTAACCTTTGGTCATTTGCATGAGTCCTGTCGTCAGACAAACAGCCAGGGCATGGTGAGGTGAGGGTCCCAACATCCTAAGGCAAATAAGCTCACTGGGATGACTTCTGCTCCTTTCCAGACCCCGAGGTTTTATGTGCTCCGGGGAGAGATGACGAGGTCCTTGCAGGAGGCTGCAGTGCGCTGCTCTCCCTGCCAGGCCACTCGCAGCAGGACGCTGCGGGCTGCCCTCCAGCCGCTGACATCAGCTCCCGAGGACAACAGCAGCCGGGCCTGTGCAGCCAGCGGGACCGGGAGGCCCAGCCGCACTGACACGCTGGCAAAACACAGAAGAGGGGAGAGAGAGAGAGAACAGGGAGGCGAAGAAGAGAGAGAGAAGAGAGCCGGGGAGGTTTATAGAAACAGAGGTCACCCGCTTCTTCAAAGGACTCGGAGAGGAAAAGGGGAGGGAGGGGCCCGAGGCATGGTGCTAACACACTTTAGGATCTGACCAGCACCGTCTTCAGTGACTATTTAGAAAAATTGGGGTTTGCTTCCCCTGTAAATAAAACCCATCGGTTTTGGAAACCCGAGCTGAGAGCATGTGCAGACTGAAACCTATATAAGGAAGCCGAGCCGGGCTGTAGCTACAGGACAGCCCACTTCCTCTCTTTGTGCCTTTTTCACTCGTCTCTAAATGTGGCTCTGGTAATACAATTGCACTCTTCTCGACTTAAAAATACTTGTCTCCAGAGTCACCTCTGACCAGGCCTCCCCCGCCCCACCCCCGCCCCGGCCGGTGCTTGTTTCCGGGAAGAGTCCTCCGGAGCCAGGTTATCCACCCAGCAGGCCTTGCTGGGCACTCCCAGCACCAGTGGCCCACTCTCGCTCCCCTCCCGCTCTTTAAGGGACAAGCCTTTATGGCCAGGCACTCTGTCCATGGCACTTCTCCATCCCTACTTCTGGACTCTCCTCCCAGCTTTTCCATGTAGAGAGGGAGCTTTGGATGCTGCTTTATGGCTTCAGAAAAGCCTGGATAGTACATGTGTGTCCACACCTGTTTCTACCTTGCACAGCAGAGCAGAGGAGGGGTAACAAGGGCCTGATGGGCAGGTGCCGTCCTGGCCACACAGCGGCAGAATAAGGGTCCCTGAACGGGAAAACCAGGCCACCAGGGAGCTCGTCAACACAGAAAAACCTGAAGCTAGGTGAAGTAAGGAAGAATTATAATCCGTTCAGCAACTCATTGTGGTTCAATCCCGTTTCCCAGCTCGCATGTCCTTGATTTAATGTATCTCGAGATGCTACGTTTGGCACCTTTCCCCTCTGCACCCTCAGATCCTGACTCTAGACCCTCCCGATGAACTTGGATGCTGGGAGCTATGATCGTGTGGACGACCCTCAAGATGATGCAAAAGCCCTAGAGGACAACTTGGAAGCTGGTTAGGACCTTACAGTAGGCAACGGAGGTTTTGACTCTGAAAATTTTAAACAGTTTCTATGGGAGGTTGAAGTCATCGGAAAAACTGGACATCTTGGGGTGGTTGTTCACACTGAAGGCTGCTTGAATAGAGTCACAGTTGTTTCGGGGAGGCAGTTCTGTAAGAGATATTTGAACTGTCCCACCAGGAAAGGCCTTCGGGAGAACCGTCTCCGGGGCTGGCTCCGTGTGGCTGCACCTGACAAGGAGACGCGGGAGCTTCCTTGTTAGTCAAGATGAGGGTGGAGCTGAGTCTGAGGACAGGGGAACCAACCTCTATAGGTGTTGCTCACAAATAAAACAAATGAGTGTACAAGAGAAATAAACGTCCACAAATGGACATTTAGTTTATCAGTTAATAAAAACATAGCACTCTGTAAAAATAAATAAATCGAACTCTTGGGTGCTGAATGTCGCCCTGGTTCTTTAGAGAGCATATCCATTCGCTCACTGGACAGCAAGGACTGGGTGTCTCCCACCACCCAGCATAGCCTGGGGATGCACAGAATTCTGACAGGAGAGGCTTCCGCCCCAGAGGAGCTTCTCGCCCAAGGTTTCCTCCAACCCAGGAGGGCTCTGGGTTTGGGTTTTGGCCTTGACTCTGGCCCTGTGAACTTCTGGTGCCCACGCTTCCTCTCTGAGAGGAACTTGGCTTCCTTGCTAATGCAGAGCATGGATACCGTCCAAGGCCCTGTCCTCAACCAGACGTCCAGTCCTGACTCCTGGTCCTTCCTGTCTCCTTCTGGAGCCCAGCGTGACAGTCCCTTATCTGAAGTTTCCGCTGAGTTCAGAAGCTCTGTCCATGTCCTGAGGTTATACCCAGAGCCTCTGGGCCAACGGAAACTCTGAGGTGCTGACTCTGCCCTGTGTGTTTCCTCTGGGGTCCACCCTCACTGACCACCCCTGGACTGTAGCAGGTTCCCAAGCACCCAGTATGTCTGAGAGCTCATCTGTGACAAATGAAGAGCGGGACTCCCGGGGGAACGCTGAGCTCCTTCCCTTCTGAACCGATTCAGTCTGATTGTCAGAGTGGGGCCTGGGGGCAGCAACCCTCCTGCCCTTTGGAACCCAGGCCTGCCCAGCACAGGCTCCTCAGCCACACTTGCTGCTCTGTGTTCTGGGAGCCCCGGGGGATGGTTACTGGGTAGCCATGTGCAGAGGAAGGCGTGTGGGCATCGGGCACAGCGATACCTGTAGCAGGTTGCAGCCAAAATGCTTAACCTGGATCTAATCACCCAAATCAGACACCCAAATTGCAGACATTCTACAAAACCATGGTCCCGGACTTGTCAAAATTATCAAAGTTTAAAAAGCAAGGGAGCTTTTCTGGATGAAAGAAAACTAAAGAGACCTAACAGATAAATGCAGAGCGTGATCCTGAGTTGGAGAAAATACAGCCATAGAGGAGGGTATGGGAACAGTTACGGCTCAGCGTGCACATGTGGGTGCATGTGCCTGTGCAGAAAAGGAAAGGAAATGAACGTGGCCAAATGCTAACCATCCGTGAATCTTAGCAAAGGATATGTGGCTGTTCATTGCATTGTTTTCTCAACGTTGCTGTAGGGTTGAAATTTTCAAAACATCACGCTGAGAACTCTAGCTAGTCCGTCCAGTAGGTTAATGGGCAGTTGAGCGAGAGGTGGTGTGAGCCAGGGGAGGGTGGCAGCCTGCACAGCCCTGGCCCAGATCCTGGTCCCCGTGACAAAGCAGGAACCAGAGCACCAGGCAGGCAAACTGGCCACAGAGTCGGGGGACCTGCAGCTCTGTGCGCACCTGGCAGCCTCGTGCCCGCCCCACCATCTGGAGCCCAGCTGTGGGGCGGCAAGCAGGTTGCAAACTCACTAACAAGCAGAGCTCCCAGCAATGCCACGTGTGCCCTGTGGGGGCTCGGGCCTGGGAACTAATGTTCGAGTACCGGCCGGGGTCCCAGAGGCAGACAGGACCGGGCCCACAGGGGCTGGCGCTGCCCGATGCCCGAGGAGCCCGAGGGCCTGAGGCGGGGTGGGCTCCTCAGGAGGAGGGACCTCGCTGGGTTCTGTTTGCTCGTCACTGGTTAAATTTTGCATTGCCAGGTTAAGTTATGGATTAAACCCACAGATGTCACCTAATTTCCCCTTTTTGTCATCTTGCCTGTGGCCTAGCCTCTACTTGTAATTCTTTCTGGCTGTCCCTGTGCCTCCCCTGATTTGATGCCATATGGTGTGTGGAGGACATTAAAGGACCGGTCTCTCCAGTGCCCTAAAATGCCGAGTACAAAGATGCAGAAAACCAAACAAAGCAGAGAACAACCATCGAAGCTGGTCTGGGATTCAACCGTGGGACGTGGCACTTCCAAGGTAGGGGGGCTGAGCGCTAAAGGGACCGAACCTCCACGCCCTCTGGCTCTGTCATCTCCTGGCATCTCCACAACTTCCCTGGCCCTCAGAGGAATGGCTCATCTCTCCCTCTTGACTCCCTCCACCCCAGCTGACCCAGCAGAGCCTCGCAGGCTCTGGGCGGGCCCCTCTCCTCTCGGGTCCTGGGTTTCCTCCCGGTGCGTGGACATGTGCAGTGCGAGGTCAGCCAGGGGTCGATCCCACCACGGGCTCTGCGTGGCTTCCACCGCAAGCCCCAGAAAGCAGCCAGGACGGCACTGCCAGGGCCGTGCGCGGAGCCAGGCGAGGACGAATCCCCGGGAGTGGGAACAGCCTCCGCGAACGCGGCTGTGATCAAGGTGCAGGATCCCACCAGGGGAAGGCCCCTCCTGAGAAACAATAACCTTTGCAGGCGTGGATTCAAGCAGACCCAGCGGGTTTCAAGCTCAGTCTCTCTCTCATGGGACTCGAACCTGCAACCCCTCAGTGGGAGGGCCGATGCTAACCACCGAGCCGTGCCCGCCAGGGCTCTTTTCCTTTCCTTCCAGCAGCTAATCCCTATGTTCAAATATAAATTTTAGACAAGAACCAATATACAAGAGACTAAAATTCTGCCTGCCTGGCTGTTTGGGGGGGGGGAGGGGGTCATGGACCTATGTGGCCCCTCCCCAGTCACCCAGGATACTTTCGGGGTATTGTCAACACCCCACCCTGTCCAGGGTTTGAAATCATGCTTTGACCCATCATGTCCCCCCCCAACACGGAGGGGCTATGGCACCTTCTCTGGTCGTGGCCTCTCAGCTGCTCCTCAAACAACACCCCTGCCCCCCACTCCCCAAGCTGTGTTTATGCCTCAACACACACCAGGAACTTGAAATCGGGTAAGATCTGTTGTGTTTTTTCTTGAAAGTCTGGAAAGTATGTTTTGATGGAAAGTCTAATGATAACTCATGGTATCCTCAAAAAAAGCTTTGGCCTGGACCTCATGAGTTTTATCCTGCTAGAAAAATCGGGGTGGGATCACACAGTGTCTTCTCCGTGAGGCTGAAATGCAGCGTCAGGCTCTTTCCTTCCCTCCCTCGTGAGGCGGAGAATGCAGGTGGGACAGGCCCCCCCGCCCGGGTCCCACTGCGCTGGCTCTTTGTTAGCTCAGCTTCTTGGACGCAACTGGACTTTCTTCACTTTTTGGTTATTACACACTGTGTCCACCGCCCATTTTCCTGCCATTGACCGCTAGTTACATTCCACCCACAACCCCCCTGTCCCGCGGGATAGGACACTGCGGGGAAAGCTCACCGCTGAAGTCATGGAAAGTTCCGGAATGCGAGAGCACACGGCGACCTGGGTGAGAAAGGCCGCGCAGTGCAACCACGACATCAGCCCTCACAATGGCAAAGGCCGCGGGAGGGAAACTTGTACTCTGTGGGCCCCCCCGTCACCCCGAAAGAGCAATGTGTTTTCAGTCAACCATTCCCAGGGTGTTTGGCTCGTTTCTCAGCTACTGAGCTGTTTTTCCTTTGATTTCATGAGCGATCAGCCTGCATTTCCCTGGCCCACTCCACGGCAACGCTGCACGCTCTGAAATACAGACGATGGCCATCCAGGTGTCCCTGTCCTTACCCTCACCTCTGGTCCCCATCAGTGCCCCTCCTGGGAGGCCCCAGGGAGCATCTCACCTGGTTCGCCAGCAAGTTCGGGTCCACTGCTATCTGCTCCTGCCTGTCCCCCTTTAGTGACGCCAACTGCCCAGCCCTCACCACTTGTGAGCCGTGTGAAGGTGTCCCAGGCTGCCTCTAATGTCCCCCCGACCCC